CTTCCACCCCACACTGGCCTAAGTGGAGCTCTGAGCAAGGTCCCGAGTCACGTGCCATGAGCAGACAGCACCAGCCCCACTGGCACCACCCCAGCTTCCCAGTCACTCATGGGCAGAGCCCAGGGGGGCAATCACGGCCCCCAAGAGGGGGTGTGCCCCACACACACTCCAAGAGGCCTGTGCTCCAACCACACCTGAACACACACCTGAGCCTGTGCACTCATGTGTGCACGTGGTGGTGATCCCAAGGGATAAGTGGGCCATTGAGAGAGTGGCACCAGGGGCCCAGGTGGCTGTGCTCACACCCACCTCACTGTGGACCAGGATGCGGGAGAGGTGGGGTGACAGGAGTTCGCCCCGCCCGCTGGAGCTCCTGGTGACCCTGTCTTCTCAGAGCAATGCTGTGGGTGCAAGGGGCAATGCAAGGCCCTGCTGGACACCCACAGAGGGTACTGTGATGCTGCCTCAGGCTGGATTTCTGCAACCCTGCGGGCTCTGCATCACCGCTGCCTCAGAGAGCGAGGACCCTCCATGCTGCCCCACCACAGCACAGGGGAGATGCTGTCCTGGCCATAGCCCTCAGGGACTCCCCAGGACTCAGCCACACAGTGCGGAAGCCCCTGTGCTAGGCTCTGAGCTGCGGAGCACCCTGGAGGCACCTTGGGGTGTGAGAGTGAGCAGGTGTGCTGGGTGTCAGAATGACGCCACAGGGATGCAAACTGCAGACTCTGCACTTGACTCGTAGATCCTCAGAAAGAACCCAAGGTGAGATGCAAGGAAATGCAGGCTTCATTCCTCTGCAGGAACCTTGCTCAGCCAGGCTGCAGCCCCACATCCTGCTTGATCACCCCGCACCACCAGAGTGTAGCCCATGGCCCTGCCAGCCACCCCATGAGGTCGCCAGCCCCTGCCCTTCTAGTCCAGGAACCTGGGTCCCCACTGGCCATGCCAACCTCAGGAACCCCAGGACCCAGGCAGGGAGGGGGAGCTCCCAGAACCCCCTGGCCCTGCCCAGGATCCTCAGGCTGGGGTACCAGGGGTGACACAGCCCCACAGAGCCTCCAGCCCCTCTCCTCCTGACCCAGAACCTCTGGCAGCATGGCCAGCCTGATCCCCACACCCCAGCAGACATGAGACTCAGGACCACATGGTCTGCCACCCCTGAGAGCCCACCCACCCCTCCTGAGACTGCGTGGTCCTCCTGCTCCCCACCCCACTCCTCCCAGGCCTTGTGGTGGCCATAGTCCAGGACTTGTGCCCACATCCCCCACAGAGTGGACACCTGCCTCCTTGCCCCAGAAACACGAGTGGGTCAGCGTGACTTCACACTGTGCTGTGTGATCCAGGCCAGCAGGTCACTGTCTGCATGGAGGTGCCTGAGGGTCTCCGTGGCCCAGGCCACCCACTCGTGTTACTGGCCACTGTCCTCTGGCCTGTGCAGGCCCAGGCATCTGACCACACTAGCCTGTGTCTGGCAGAACAAGTGATGTATGAAGGGCATGCTCTGGGACACCAGACCTTATCCAGGGAAGGGGCAGTGATGCTGCACATGATAGTCCCATGCCTAACTCTCCCACCTGGCTGCCTGAGATACCACGTGACCACAGGACCTGCCTGGGCACCTGGGTCGCAGCAGGTGAGCTGACTGCAGATGGGCATGCCGGGGACCAAGTGGGACTGAACAGAAGTTGGCATGGCCAGCAGTGTGGCCTTGGCAGAGGCTGTAGAGTCCTGGTCCCCCTACAGCCACCATCATCCCCCATGACCCCTGTAGATGAGGAGTTGCAGGGTAGGGATGACACCTGCTCCCTCAGGTCCTGAGGTGTGATGGGCTGTGATGGGCTGGTAAGCACCCTCTGCTGGCTGTGAGATGTCAGAACCTCACCACCCTGGGATCCACTGGGCCACAAGGCTCTGATGGGGGCAGGGGATGCGCAAAAGGGCTCCACCATGCTCCAGGCCTAGGGAGGCACAGGGTGGGTCTGGAGGTTCCTGAACCTTGGCCCGTTTGGCCCCGACGGCATCAGCTTTCACTGGGACCACAACAATGCTGGGTCCCAGGCAGCGAGGCCTGTTTGGCCCCTTCTCAGCAGCTCTGGCTCTGGTGACATCCCCAAGTCTGTTTCTCTGGGCCTCAGAGGATGACCACCTGTCAGGCCAGCAACTCAGGAGGCCCTGGGGCTATGCAAAGGTCAGGGGTGTTCCCACTGGGGACCCAGATAGTCCTGGAAGGCAGACCCCAGAACAGGCACTTGGGCATCAAGGGCAGTGGGCATCCAGTTCTGGGGCGCTCCCTGCTGCCTTGACAGCATTGACTAGGTCAGGCTGTGGGTGCCCTGCTGGCCCACCTGCCACACCAACACCTGGCCAAGAAGCCCAGGGGAGTGGTAGGTGATGGGCCACCGAGGTCACATGGTGGAGAGGGTCACAGTTGCAGCCAAAGGGGCTGGGGCACAGGAGGCACTCTAGAGTTGTCCCTAGAGCCCCCCTGTGCTGTTGCTGGTGGGGCCCCCACCATGGGCTTGGTGAGACAAAAGAAGCTGCAGCCTCCCAGGGAACACGCAGTTCCTCCATGACTGACAAGCCAGCTACATGGAAGCTCCGCCCTGGGCCAGACAGAGCCAAGCCGGATGGACAGTGGGTCCTGGGCCAGGGACTGGACAAGAGTGAGCAGCACCCAGGGAACCTGGAGGACAGCATGCAGGCTCTGAGCCCATCACAGTCCAGCAGCCCATGGCTGCCCTTTCCAGCCCAGCCAGTCTTCCCCTGCCCACTCCACCGCCCCCACGAAGTCCCCGTCAGAAAAACAGCTGCCGCAGCAGCTCTGGGCGGCCGGCTCGGTTATGGCTTATGTACGGCCCCCTAGGCACCTAGCTCTCGGGGCACTGGCTTTATAAATAAAATTTATCATTGTAATTACAACTCCCACAGAGAGCCCAGGACGTTTATGGCCTCTTGGAGGTCATGAATAATTTAGGGGACAGACATGGGCACCAGTTTTAGCATCTGCGGGCCCAGCGGCTCCTATTACCTGGGCTGCTGGTGGTGATGGGGCTGGCATGCCGAGATCCCCACTGGGGGAACAGCAGCCTCCAACATGAAGCCCCTGCCAGGTAGGGTGGTGCCCAGGACGGGCTCTGGCTGGGGATGGGCGAGCAGTCAGTCCTAGAGGCCAAGGCCCCTGCTGTATAGCCCTGGCTTCTGGGAAGTATGTCAGGGGCTACACGCAGGACACAGATTCCCCCAGATCCCTATGCACACCCAGCCTCAGGTGGATGGATCCGCTTCAAACTGCTGGAGCTGCAGGCTATGGAGGAAGGTGGTGATGTGGACTCAGTCACCCCAGGTCCACAGGGCAGAGGGCAGGCTTGCTCCATGGCCACTGGCCGGACAGGAATAGCGCTGGAGCAAACCTGGACAGCACCCCTTACCAGCATGGAACCTCAGCACCCATGGGGCCTGCTCCTAGCCTGCGGAGGACCCACTGGCCCAGGGCCCACCTAGTACCCCAGGCAGTGCCCCCTGGGGCCAAGTGTGGAGGGCACAGTCAGTACAGACCTCAGGAGGACCCTAGGTGACCCAGCGCTGCCAGGTCCCCTCCAGAGACAGCATACCTTGGACAGCCCTGAGGGGCCTGGAACTGGCTGCTCCCTCCTGCCAGACCTCGGATGGACAGAGGGGCAGGGCTCTACTCTATGACCCTGGAGGCCTGGTCAGGATTCAGCTGGGCAGTGGTTCTCATGACCCCTAAATGCTGCTGTTCACCAAACCCAAGCTGTGGGGGACACCCTCTCTCCCCAGCACCCACAGTGGCATCCCTACAACAGGGTCAGCACACCACAGCTAGACATCTGCCCCCCAATAATGCTAACTTGGACTATATTGCGTACCTTGTACCTCATTTCCTGTTGTCCCAAGCACAGAGTCCACTCCCCTGTGCAGACAGGGAAACTCAATGCCCTGCCTGGCACAGAAATCTAACCAGCAAAGCATCAGTCTGAGGGAGGCAGAGGGCCAGTTGAGGGGCTGCCCTTCCTGCACAGCAACCCACACCACCCATACCCACCCCTCTGACCCAGAGTCCAACCACAGAGTTTCAAGAGCTGCAGGGCTCTGGAGTCAGTCCAGGAGGACACGTGGGGCCAGGGCGGGGACAGTGGCCCTGACCTCCAGCCTAGTCTGCAGGCCTGGCCGGATGTCCCCAGGGGCCTGGGAAACAGCTGCCTCACATCCGGCCAGCGGAGGCTGTCAAGGTTGCTGCTATTTCTGCCAAAGGGGAGCAGCCCTCGGCCCAAGCCTTGCTTTCTGGACAGGCTCCGCCATGAGGAGAGGCCACAGACAAGCCTTCCAGACCAGAGCCCAGGAGAGGCCTGGTCACTCATGTGGCCTGCGAGCTGTGCCCAGGCCTGGGCCCACCTACTTGGGGGCAGAAGCAGGGGGAACTTGGCTGGGACACGTCCTCGCACCCCAGAACCAGAGTTGGCTGCTTCCTGTTTGTGAGGACAGAGAGAAGCAAGGTGAAAGAGGACAACGCTGACTTCCTGCCTGGATAGGGTCTTCCCAGCAAAGGGAATGGGAAAGAACCTGGGAGGTGGGTGGAGGCCACAACAAAGCCTAAGCAGTAGTCACTCCGGGAGCCCTGGACACCTCATGATGGCCACCCTTCCTTTCTACCTGGGACTGGGTGTCCTAGGGTGGGGCCATTCCAGGCAGACTGGGCATCTGGAGAGCCCACAGCCTCTGGCCCCCTGAACCTGTGTCTCCTTGCTAGTGGGACTGCCGAAGGACTCACGACTCGCTGGCCCCTGGTGCTCCAGACCTCCCAGGCAGCAAGCCTGACCCAGTCCCTCCAAGACTATCTCAGGGGAGTCTGGAAGGGGGGCACCAGGCACAGCGGAGAGAGGGCCTGGAAGCCACTGGCCAGCACCTGCTCCCTGTTCCTGGCCAGGGCCAGTGGGAGCCTCGGCAAGGCCAGAGGGTACTCAGCCCTCCTGTGGAACGCCCTCTTGCCCAAGTGGGAAATGCACATTTATCTGGGGAGCTGCCAGCAGCTGGCTGTGAAGCGACAGCCCTTCTCAGAGCCCCAGCCCTCCCGCCCCGCCTCCATCCTGCAGAGGGAGGCCATCCCAGGAGCACCCAGCCTTCCGTCTCCTCTAGCGGGACAAGCACAGCTGGGCTTTGTGGCCTCAGCCTTTAGGCTCTGCCTGTGCCAGGCTGGGTGGGTGCCTGGGACCCAGACCCACCGCCCAGCCCAGGGATACCTCCCTGCCATCCTCTATAACAAAGGCAGCAAGAACCAGCGGCTGCTGTAATGGAAACTTCCTGGCCAGTCTGTGGGCCACAGCAGCTCGGGTTCCGCTCCGCCTGAGGCTCGGCCTTCAGTATCTCATCGGGCGGGTGGGCCTTCCAGCAACACAGGGCCGCACTGCAGGAGCCAGGTGGGCATGTGTGCTTGTCTGTGTGCTCACCTGTGTGCATGTGTGTGTGTGTGCACGTATGCATGTATCCCCTCTGGCCCACAGGGCAACACTGGAGCAGGCCGCCCACAGCAGATCAGCAGGGCTGGGCACCTGGGGCAGCAAGTGTGGGGGGAGCGGGCACACCACCCCACAGCTGCCCTGGCCAGTGGTCAGAGCAAGCTGAGGAAGAGCTGCCCCTCACAGGGCGGGTGGGGTCCTAGGTCACCCACATGTCAGCAGCTGCGAGGAGGTCCTGCCTGCCACGGCTTTGGATGACAGGGCAGGTGGCCAGGGCAGGCACAGTGGGGTGGACACCGCTGTCCTCTGGGGCAGAGGCAGGCAGCAGGGGGTGAGGGGCACTGGCCAACCACAGTGTCTCCCAGATGAGCTGGGCCAGGTCTTGGAAGTACACAGGACTCCTAGGCCCTCCAGCCTGGGTCCCCGGGCCTGCTTCTTGACTAGGGTCTTTGCCAGCTGCCTGTCTGAGCCCAGGAAGGTGGCAGACCCAGGACCCTGCTGCCTGGCCCAGGAGACATGCAATGCTCTCTCATTGGCATAGGCGTGGGCAGTGAGTCCCGGAGGCACCACCGTCCACGTCCCCCCAGGAGAGGGGCAGGCGGCTTCCTCAGGCCAGTCTGGCTTGCAGTGACACTCCACAGGCCTGGGCTCCTGGAACTATTTTCTGCCCTTTATCACCCATCTGTCATGAGCTGGCTGCAGAGCAAGTGCATTTGAGTTACACCCTGTCCCTGCTGTGGAGGGTGTGCTCCAGGGCAGGCAGAGGGCACCCAGCAATTTCACCTGCTTTTGCAGCCCTCCCGTGTCCCAGCAGGGAGCACGAGTCCCAGGAAGGTCATTCTTCCAGTTGGCCAAGGTCACAGAGACCAGACTGAGGCAGCCCCGGGACACCAAGGCCCCCACCTCCTCCCTGTGAGGGGCCTGCTGGGCCCAATGCAGAAGCCCAGGGCACCTGTAGATCTGCAGAGCAGAAGAGGGACCCACAGATGTCCTCCCTGACCCAGCCCTGAGCCAGAGAAAAGCACAGCCACCCCCAAGTGGCAGCCATAGCATGGTGGGATCACCACAGGCCCCAACCTCAGTAAAGCCCAGGCACTGGCCAGCTCATCTTCACAGGTCCAGGACAGGGGCTGGCACTGCTCGGGAGGGGCGGCTGAGAAGGCTGGGGCCACCTAGGTGCCCCGGGGCCTGCAGCCTCACCCACCACACATGTTCCCGCACACTGCAGACACACACATACATGCATACCTGTGTCCATGCGACCACACCCCAGGTACACACACAGACAGAGTCACCCCAGGTGCTCACACACACACACATACACACACGATACCTGGCCCTCGAATACCCACTTCCACCTGGGCAGCCTCTCTGGCCCTGCCCAGAGCACAGCAGTTGCCCCACCTGCCCTCACTGCCTGCTGCTCCTTCCTCATCCTCTTTGCAATAAAACCTGATGCACAACAGCAACGACAAAGACCACTCCCTTCTGCAGTAACTGAACCCACAGCCCTCAGCTGGCCCTGTGTTCGTGCCTCCCTGGGCTCTAGAGTGTCCCTGTTATCCCAGGTGAGGGGTGCAGGGACTCCTGGGCAGCTGCACCTGTGGGGGGACCTGAGGCCACCATGCTTGGGGACAGCGGAAGCCCTGCTCTCTGGTTGGGGCACCCTGCCTGGAGTCCATGATGGACAGGGTTTTTCACATGCAGGGCAGCAGTGTCCACCAAGGACCCCAGAAAAGGAACTGGAGAGCCCAGCTGGCAGGGGAAGCCATTGGCCTGTGTCACCCATTCAGCCAGGAGGGGCAGGACACCCCGAGGGACACCTGTAATGCTCTGTCCTTAATGTCCCCTGAGAAATGAGGGGTGTGGCTCAGTAGCCCGGACCCTCAAAGGGCTGACGCCTAAGGCCCAGATTCATATGCATGGGTCCTCAGTGGGGTCTGCACCAGGGCAGGACTGGAGGACTGGGGGGTTAAGGGCCTGCCAGGGCTGTGGAAGAAAGCCCAGGGTGGAGGGGCTACATGTGTGGGCCAGGGGAAGAGGGCATGGGAGGCCACAGGGCACCTGTACACTGAGAGAGACACAGGACATAGAGGGAGCAGAATCGGAAGCAGAGGGAAGCAGAGAAGGAGAAGGACAGGGCAAGGGAACAGTTTGGGTAGAGCTGAGCGGGTGGCCACCAGGACCTCAGGTCATGGCCAGCAAGGAGTCAGGAATCCCCGGAGGACCTTATCCAGGACCTGCACGGCCCTGACAATGGGAAGCCCATTCCATGCCTGGTGCCCCCTTGAAGATCCAGCAGCCCAGCGATGTCCACAGCAACCTAGTCCATGATCTCAGAAAGTGGCAAATGACAGTGAGCTGCAAATGTCCAAGTACCGGAGTGGAGGGTGGCTGTGAACCAGGGCTGCAGCCCACAGGAGCCTGTGCCGCCCGGTAAGGCCACAGCTCCCAGGCTCCTACAGCAGAGCAAGTTGTTCAGGCAGGGGCTCGGAGTGAGCGGGGCCATGTCCGGGGGTGGGATCTACTCACTGCCCACCTGGCTCTGTGTGCCCCAGTGTCGCCGTGTCTTTCCCGCCCAGGACTATGCTCCAGTAAATGAAGACCCCCACTCGAGCCTGGCACCCCGACTCCCGCCCAGAAACCCCACATCGGACCAGAGAGGATGAGGAGACCTCGGGGTGCTCAGTGCGGCCCTGGCCTCAAGTGGTAAGGCTTCTGAGACAGAGATTGTGTGGCTTCAGGGTGGACAGGAGAGGACAGGGGGCTCCTGGGCCCCACCCTGCAGCTTAGGCTGTGGAACAGGAGAGCAGGGCTGAATGCATGAGCCTGAGTGTGTGAGGCTGTGTGGGGCTGGGTGTGAAGCTGAGCGTGTGAGGCTGTGTGGGGCTGAATGTGTGGGACTGGGGCACTGAGCACAGGTCAGATGGGGAGTAGCACTGGACTGCCAAGGGAGGACGGACAGGTAGATGGGACTGGGGCCAGAGAGGGGCGGAGACTACAGACCCCTCTGTCACTGAGCAGCCTGGGTCCACACAGGAGGGTGGAACTCAGATTAAGGCTGTGGGTCCCCTGGGGAAAGGCACTGAGCCCAGGCAGCCCAGCCTGGCAGGGCGGCCTCCCCAGAGCCTAGTGCAGGCACAGGCATGAGAGGCAGCCTGGCACCCAGGCACTCCAGCCCTCAGAACAGCCGGTGTCCTGTGTCACAGACAAGGGCTCAGAGTCCAGACTAGGCTGTGCTGACCAGTGGAGGTCCAGGGACCCTGGCGGGCTCACGGGCCCACTGGAGCATGGCTAGGAGGAGGAGGCCAGCTTCTTGGGGAGATGCTGTGGCCCACCGAAGCCTCCAGGCACCTTGGCCCTGCCCTGGCCCAGCCCCACAACCCCCCATGTATCAAGGTTCCCCCAGATCCTCTGGGGCCCAAATAGCCGCCTGACACCCGACACTGCCCAGGAAGAGGGGCTGGGGCCTGGCATTCACCTGGGGGGTCACCCCTCACTGAGAGACTGAGGCTGGGTCAGGGCTGCCAGCACTCTCACACCACCCAGCCTCTGCCCTGCCCTGTCCGGCTTTTGGAGCAGTGGCCAAGTTCTGAGCCCTGATCCTCGTCCTTCACCAGCCATGAGTTTGTGTGGGTTCAGGCTGAAGAGTGGTCCAAAAGGGCCCCACCGGCCATGAAGTATTACTGTTCTCATCTCTCACATGTAAAGTCACCTGAGCCCGGGGACTGGTGGAGGCCAGAGCCAGGGCTGCAACCTGGCCCTGGGTCACTGGCCTTGCCCACTTAAGACTTCTGACCCCACCAGGATAGAGCAGCTGGCCAGGGAGCCAAGGCCAGGGTGAGTTGGGCCCGGGTCACCACACACCTCTCAGGTCCCATGCAGCAGGTTCCTCTGCATAAAGCACAGAGACAGCAGTGGGGACAGGACTGGGATGACCGGTGTCCAGCAGGAGAGGCTCATGGTCTCCCTGCTCCTCTTCCCCAGGAGGGAGGCAGGAAGCGCCCCCCATCCATCCTGAGACGGAGCTGGCCGGAGCGCGTGCCCCACAAGGCTGATCCACCGAGGAGCTCAAGACATGTGCGGTTCCAGGAGCCCCTGGAGGTGGCCGTCCACTGTAAGGGGAGGGCGTGCTGGCAAGCAGGGGGCTGGTGGCGAAGGTCTGGGTGGGCTGAGATGGACCCCAGTCCTGACCTGTGTTCCCTGACAACCTGGTCACACCTGGGGCCATCAGGACCCAGGGCGGGAGGGGAACCGGGCAGCTCATCTGCCTCCACTGCCAATGGTTGGTTGGAGCTGTGCTGTGGGCAGTTCTGTGGACAGGTGGGGGCATTGGGGCACTCCGCAGACTGGCATCTCAGTCTCTTCCACAGACATCGCCCGCAGGGAGCCCACAGCTGCAGTCCAGGGTGAGTCCTGACCCAGCCCACAGTGGGCCCTGGGCCTCTGGCCCTCCCCATCCCCAACTCCCCTCACCTGGCCCCTTGGCACCCTCTGGCTGTCCAGCCTGTCCATTCCTCAGCCACTGTCCCTGGCACACAGGTGGGACGCTGCATCCTGTGCCCCGGAGAAGCTCCCTCCTCCTGTGGCTGTCTCTGTGCATCCTGCTCGGGGTGGCGCTGGGCCTGTACTGCGGCTGGGCTGAGCCTACCACCACGGCCCTGGAGAATCTGTGGGCCCAGCTCAGGATCCTCATCCTGCACCTCTGGCACATGGCCCTCAGTGGCTGGCACTGCTTCCTGCAGCTCTGACCACAGCTGGAGGGCAGTGTCATCACCAGAGCCCTGCTGGGTGAGGCTTCAGGAACCCCTGGGTCTTTGGGTCTCGGGCTCTGGAGCTGACGGGGGACAGCACCACAGGGCTGCTGCAGGGGCCAGGGAAGGGGGCACCACTGCCTGAGGTCGGATATGGGGGAACATAGCAGGGCCCTGCTCCTCTCAGTACAGCCACTCCCTCCCTGAGTGTCAGGGTGCACCAGGGCATTACCCAAGAAAGGACTTCAGCTACCACCCCAGCCTTTGCCCACTTCTATCTGGCAGGAACTGGGTATCACAGGGGAAGCCCTGCACCTACAGGACCCAGAAGGTGGATGCACCTCTGCTGTGTGGGGCCACAGCACTCAGAGTCAGCCCTGCCTGTGCCTGCCACCTCCGTGGAGTCCACCACGGGCACCATCCTCCTGGTCAGGTCTGACCCTACCAGGCCCCTCTAGACCCCACACAGACACCAAGAGGGACCGCAGAGGATGCTGTGCCCACTGGGCTGGTGGCCAGCTGAGTGCATGGGACAGCCTGAGGTGTCCTTCCCCCACTGACACAGGAGAAGCACTTTCCACCAGAGCTTCTGTACCACCTCCGGGCTGGGACTTCAGGGCAATGCAGCAAGCAGCCTGGCTGGAGAACCCTCCATGGCCAGAGCCCCTGCCAGGCACCAGGGGCTACTCCCTCCCTGCCTCAGTCCCCTCAGCTTCCCTTCAGAGCATCTTGGGGCCCACTGAGGCCCTGGGCCATATCCTCCAGACAGGCACATCAGCCCCTCACTATGCTCTGGGTCACAGCCACCCTCCCAGGCCTCAGGAACCCTAGGCAGTGGTCCCAGGGTCTCTTCAGACCCAGAATTCAGGGACCTCAGGATGGAGGACCCCATGGAGAGGGCCCATTTCCAGAAGTGGCCTGGAAAGGGCCACAGGAGGGGACGGGCACCTCCAGCACCAACCATCAGCATGGTGATCGCCCGTGGCAGGAGTCACCTCATTGCACCCCATCGGGGGGGTAGTTTAGCCACTGACGCCCACATTCTAGAGGCTGAGAGGGGAGCCTCAGCCCTCTCTGGGCCTGGGGTGCAGCACCATTCCCGCTCTCCAGAGGGCACTCATCCTGCTCTACAGCGAGGCCCAGCGTGATCCCTGCAGGGTCCACAAACCCACGTGCAGCCATCCAAGTGCTGCCTGGAGACACAGCCCCAGAGAAGTTACCCAATCCTGCCTCACCCTGGGGGTCATGTGGGGAGCAGAGACCGGAGCTCCAGGATCATGGACATGACACTGTAGCCTTGCAGAAGACTACTCCTAATAACCTCTGAAGAACTGGAACAGAGCCAGGAAGCAGCGCTTGAAACAAACTAGAAGCTGAGCAGGTGGAGCAGTATTGGGAAGGTTGGCGCAGAACAAACTCCACACCCCAGAGACACTTGAGCACAGTTTTATTTTGACCTGGAGAAACAGATACATGGAAACTTGAGAATCTTCACTTCCAGTTCAGCAGGAAGTAAGCTAAAACAAGGCGTTCTTGCAAAAAGCCAGAGAGAAGCCAAGGTGTCTTGGAAGTGGTGTGTTGTACGGCCACTGGGAGGACCCAAGCAGCCCTGCCCTCCTGCCTGGGGAGAGGCTGGCCCTGGGCGGACCCAGACCAGCTCCTGGGGCCCAAAGGACAGCTGCCCAGGGCAGGCAAGGCTGGGGAAGTGGCAGGTCCATGGGCTCAGAAAACCATACGCTGCTCCTGCTCCTTCTGCAGCCCCAGGTGGCTGCAGCAGAAATGGGGGGAAAGGGCCAAAACGAGGCAGAAGCCACAACACCATGTGGGGGACAGAGAAGCAGCTGTGGGGGATGGGAAAGGACCCCCACACCCAGTAATAGGGGCCCAGGCCAACATCAGCTTTGGAGGCCTTGGACTCTCTCCAAATACTGTCCCAGGGTAACTCGGTGTCCCGAAGGAAACCCCCAGCTGGGGTTGAGGCCTCTGGACTAGACCCCCAGGATGGTACCTGCCTGCCCAGCACCCTGACAAGCTGGCTCACCTGACCACCCAGAACCCCTGAAGTGGCCCTGGTCCACACCAGAGCCCGAGCTGGGAAAGCATGCTGGGAACACACTTCTGAGGGGCTAGGGTTAGGGTTGGGGGCTCCAAAAGTAGGGGTTGCTGAGGACAGCAGAGCCCAGTCCCGGTCACACCAGGGTCTGCCGACATGGGGTGGGCAGGTGGAGTCCCCGGCCTTCAGGAGCCCTGGCCACAGTGTGGGGTGGGAAGGCAGCGCCCTCCTCCTGGGACCATGGGCGCCCCATCTCTGTGGTCTGCTCTCACACATCCCATGCACACACACGTGCACACACATATGTGCACACACTGCAGCATCACACATGGAGCCTCAGGGAGGCACAGCAGATGCCTCGCCCAGGCCCCTTTCACAGCTGCCTGCTGCTGGGCCACGGCAAGGCTGGGCAGCTCACAGGGCCTGTGGGCAGGGGCCGGGAGCCAGCTGCAGAGCTTAGATGACGGCACTCTTCTCCCCCTGGAAGGAGGTGCGGGGGCCCGGCCTGGCCAGCAGCAGCTCCTTCTCATGGACCAGGCTGTCCAGCAGGTCCTCCTGGCGATAGTTGTGGTAGACCTTCAGGAAGGCCAGCATGGTGATGGCCAGCCATGCCAGCCATAAGGCCCAGAGTCCGCACTGCAAGGAAGCAGCAATGTCAGTTCAGGGCCAGCCCCCTGTGTCTGCCTGACCAGCCCTGACATAGACGAGGGGCAAGAGGGGGTTCACAGCCAATGCTCCTTCCCACAGGACAGTCACTTCGCATCCATGGGGAGCCTAAATCTGCAGAGGCGGGGGCCCAGGCCACCCTGGCCCCAGCCTGGCTGACACCATCTCTGGTGGAAGACAGTGGCTGGCAACGTCCAACCCCCCAGCCTGGACCCCTCCAAGAGGAGGAGCCTGTAAAGCACGGCCCTCTGGCTGTGGGAAGAGATCGACCTTCAGCCGCTGCTTCCAAGCAGCTGGAGGAGAAACAATCTAATCATCCCCAGGCCTGCACATCACACGGAGTTCACTGCAGTGTGCTTGCTGTCCACGTGGCCATCTAATTGATATAGTCAAGTCCAAAGCAACTTCTACTAAATTTGCAGGAAGGTCTCTGAACGTTGCAGCTCCTCTCAGGTCCCCAAATCCAGACCCCAGTGGCTGCCAGCCAACAAGGGGGCTGGGGCTGGACCCAGAGGCCCAGCCCCTCCAGGATCCGCCCCAAACCCTGTCCTGCCAGAGGCCCCTGTCCACACAGTGTCCCGAGGCCCTCCCCACTTGCCGGGTGCCTTCCTGCTTGGGCACATTTGTCCCGCTGCTATCCCCCACCTAGCCCTGCACAACCTGCTTGACCTGACTCTGCCCACTCCTGCACCCTCCAGACGGGGCCCACCCACCCGTGGGGGTCACAGAGTCACACGCAGGCTCCGTGCTCTACCTGGGCGACAGCAAACTGGTCATAGAAGGCAGAGTTGTCCACATTCAGCTCCAGGTCGATGTCTTGCAGCTCCTCACAGCTGAAATGCAGAATGGGGGCAGTGACCACTGGCCCAAAGAGGGCCTTACAGTGGAGGCCTCCTGCTCTGTCCACAACATACGCTCAGGAAAGAGGCCCAGAGGCCAGAGGATGCGCGTTGGCCTTGGCTCAGGGTCCCAGTCCCCACCCACTGTCTCCCACTCCAGGGTCTCAGGCCTCCAAGGAGGCTGCAGGGAGGCTGGGCTGGCCATCCCCACTCTGCCCCATGGGGCACACTGGGCACACCACCTAACAGCCTCTGCTCCACATGGGCAGCTCAGTCCACCCCCAGATGGCAGCTGGAGCTGACAAACAGGGCAAAGTCTATGTGAAGCCCCTGGGCAGCAGCCCCGCTAGGACTGCGGGAGGGCTGGGGACTGGAAGGGTGAGGGCCCCCCAGTGGGGACAGGAAAAGTGAAGGTGGGAGCCAGCAGGGCACCAGGGCTCACGCCAGCTTCGTCAGTGTGCAGGCACCAGCATTCGGGCCCAGGATGGATGGGGCATCCCCTGGCCACTCTGCTGTCTCCTACTTTAGATGGTGGGGTCTGAGTCTGACTTTGCCTGAAGAAAGTGGAGCTCAGGAAGAGGGACCCAGGTCCTGCTTTCTAGGTCCTGGGCAGTCTTAGGGTGTCTGCCCAGAGGGACAGACCATCACCACACTCCACCACAGGTACCCCACCAGCAGAGGTTGCCCAGGCTCGGCTCAGCATCCATTCTTGCCCTGAAGGCCCCAGACTGCCAAGGTCCTGTCTCATCCCACAGAACCACCTGCTCCTGTTCATATCCACTCCCTTCCACCCCATCACCAGAGCCCCAATCTGACACCCACCAACAGCACAAGGGTGGACCCCAGGTCTCAGGCCCAGCCACCTAGAGCTTCCAGGACCTGGCCACTACCTTGTCTGGGATCCTATCCTCCAGGCCCCAACAGCAATGAGGGGATAAAGGCACTGCTGAATCCCCTAGGCCCAACACCCACCCAGAGCTGAGGCCCTGGCTCCTGGGGGCCTCCAAGTGTGATGCTGCAGGCTCCGGAGCAAGAAGGAGGCATCCAACATTGGTGTGGAGCTCAGAGAAGGAGCCATCCAGGTGGGGAGCAGGTGGGCAGTGGTGGGGACCAGGTGGGCACAGGTAGGATAAAGCCACAGACTGCATGCTGCACAAGGTCAATCTATCTGTGGGGTGCAGGAAGGGGGGCCCAGCAAACCTGTGGGGCACGGTGCCCTTCTCAGTGATGGCGTCGCACCACATGGTAAAGCCCACACTCACGATGGTGCTGGCAATGAAGACCAGGAAGACCACGAAGGCGCTCACCAGGAGGTTGAGGAAGGCATAGAAGAAGGAGCTGCAGGCAGGCAGAGAAAGGGATGCTGGGGGCCATCCAGGACCCAACCCAGCAACAACCCCCAGGGTGGGGGGCCCAAGCCCAGGCTCCCTGCTGGCATCTGGGCCCCAGGACTCCCCAGGCCAGCCTGAGATGCCCATTCATCCTTCCAAATCCTGGACTTGGGACCACATCACCACCACTGGCCCAGGAGGGCCAATATGGGGACCAAGGCACAAGAGCCACTTGCACACTAGAAGTGCAAGGTACCCATGCAAGACTACCCAGCCCCGGGCACCGGCCCGGTCTACCCACCACTAGGCCACTGTCCACAGAGATGTACCCACGCAGTCGCCCAAGGGTACACAATGAGCTCTGTGTCTCCCAAGTTCTTACGAGGAACCCTAACCCCAAGGTGAGGCACTAGGAGCTGGGGCCCCTGGGACATGGTCAGGTGGTGGGGTGGAGCCCTGCAATGGGATCCGTGTCCTTATAACACGGGGGTGGGGGTGGATACAGACAGAGAAGCAAGAAGCAGTCCTCACCAGATACAGCCCCTCTGTGTGACACAGTGACCCACACTGCACAGCCTCACACCCCGACGCCCACAAGGGACCGGCCACAGCTGCACTCCGGTGGGTCACCGAGGACTCAGAGGCCAGGCTGTGCCAGTGCTGATGCGGTCCAGACTGACAAAGGGAGCTGGGGTGTAGGCAAACCAGCGCCAGGACTGTGGTACAGGGCACGGGTGGCCAGGATACCACCCCTTCGAGCTCCTCCCCAGAACCTCCATCACCCAAGGGCTCCCCAAGGTCCAAGCTCCTGAGGGAGCCTCAGTCTGACCAAGCCTGGGTCCACTGGGCTGTGGGTGGGAGAAGGAAATGCCACCTCTCGGTAGGACCCCAGGAGGACCCTCAGGACAGCACAGCAACAGGCAGCGGGGAAGAACCCTGCCCACCCACCAGGCACAGGCTGGATGTCACACTGGTACCACAGCAGAGAATCTGAGCAAGCCTTGGGCTAAACTGGCTTCAAGTGTGCTTGGCATCTCACCCAGGGGAACTTCAGTCCCTATCCCCTGACTGTGAAGACCCAGGAGCCAGGCACAGAACCTGAGCACTGCTGGCTCATCTGCTACTCGGTCACTCGACAAGGCCCCTCCATCAATCCACAGGCCCATGCCAGACACAGGACAGGGACAGGAGTGCGCAGTCCCAACCCAGGAGGCTGACCCAGCCCACCATGCCAGCTCTAGCAGGGTGACCAGGCTGGCTCAGGTGGAACCACCATCCACAGGGGTCGCCCAAGACAGGCCATATGGCTGAGCGACTGCTGGGCAGACAGCAGAGCCCCCTAGGGAATGCATGTCTCACACATCCACAGAGGTGGCACAGCCTGGAGCTCAGACCTGACGGGGTCAGAGGCCCTGCAGAACCCAGCTCTCCCCATGGAGCCACAGCCACAGCCTCTGGAGTCCAGCAGCAGCTGTAGAGCTGTGCCATGCCTCCAATGCCCTGGTGTGGCTGTGTTCCATGGACACTGTCCCTGCTGGACTCCTGCTTGCGGTCTTACAATCCCCACTTCCCGCAGCTGGCTCTCCTCTGGGAGCTCTTCCCTGCCTGCCTGTAGACTGCCCTGCGTGTGTGGCAGTGACCCCATGGAGGCCTGGTCCCCAACAGGGCCTCATGCAGAGCCTGGAGCTGACACCACCTCTCCTCAGTCTCTCCCAGTCAGCCCCTGCATGCCCGCACATGGGTGGACAATGCCTTCCCTGGGGACCCTGATGACCCAACCCTGGGCCACACTGAGGAGACTCATGTAGGTACAGGACAGCGCATGGTTCCCAACCCTTCACTCCTGCCCTTAACCATGCTATCCCATGTCGGACCTCCCCACTGTGAAGGGCCTGCTGCCTACTGCCCTTGTGGGTTCCCTGGAGCTGTGTCCAGGGCTGAGGTCAGTGTTGCCAGCAGGAACATGGAGTGCAGGAAGTAGGGTCACTCGTGGGAACCAAACACCTAGACTGGGTGTTTGGTGTTTAGGGACTGGGCAAGCTTAAAAGAGGGGAAGGCACAGCCCACCCAAACCCTCCCATCTTTCATTGTTTCAGCACAGCAGTGCAACCACTGGGCCACACATCTGGACAGCTTGTGTGGTTGGGGCAGCTGTGTCAGAGCCTCCCTGGGCAGAGGCAAGAAGGCTGCCCTGAGCAGAACGTGCACTTCACCAGACTGGTGGAGTGGGCACCAGGACAGCTGCTGTCAGGGCACACTCATCCCTCCACCTGCTGGACAGTGCCTGCCACCCTCCCCAGGGCATACCTGGCAGCAGCACCTTGGGTGCCTGGTGTTCCCATTTCCTGAGAGGTCAACCCAGCTGCCATGCCAGGTTGCCCTAGAAGGGCTGGGCTGGCCGCCATACACAGAGCAAAGCCACAACCAGCGCACTCCAGCAGGGGTGTGACATCTAGAATTCTAGATGGGTGTGCACGGCCCACACCCCCATGGGGCTGAGTTCCCTGGGTGGGCCTCCCCAACAGCCCCTGTCCCAGCTAGTTCCCATAAGACATAAGACATAAGAGTTCCAGGCCTGGCTACCCCTTCCCATCTGAGAGAGGGCACAGCTGGACAATCAGGAAATCGAGTCATCTACCAACCCCAGACACTCCAGCAGCATCTCTGTTACGTGGGTATCGCTTCCTCCACCCTGACCCAAACAAGCAGCTCCCCACGAGGTGGGAAGGTCCCTGAGCTGGGCTGATGCTGGCAGATGGCCTCCTTCCACTCTTCTCATCCACCTCTGGTTGGTTTCCATGGAACCTGTCCAGCCTTCCAGAGTTTTGAAGAACCGCAGGTGTCCAGAGCCTCACCTGAGTCACAGTGCCACCCTTCTCTGTCCTCCAACACTGAAAAGACTGGACAGGATGGCAGGCAGGATCCAGGAGAGTGGCATGCTCAGGGTTAATGTCTTTCTTCCCCTGCTCTCAGGGTGCCCAGCCTGGGATGTGCCGTCACCATGGCAACAGCTATCCCTTGACGCTGGGAGCAATCAGGAGGCTGAGTGACAGTTGTAGGCAGGCAGATGGGTCGTTTTAACCCAGCACTCCCCAGCCCATCACCCTGTCAGTCACAGACTGCTGCCTGACCCAACTCAAAGGGCTCCTCTTGGGCAGAGCTGCCCACCCAGGCCCTTGCTCTCCTGAAGCCCAGAGCTCAGGGGCCAGAGTCAGCCCATTCCTTCATGCACTCGGCCCTGGTCAGGGAGCTCTAGGTGCCAGATGCTCCCTGTGTATAGCAAATACCCTCTGCCTCAAGCTCAGGACCAGGCCAAAGGGCAGGGACCTCGGTGATCTCTCTTAGGAAAGCAGAGTCTGAGCTAACCTAACCATGTTGGCCCCCACCTCCCAGGGACACTGGGACCATGGTGACCTCACAGACTCACTAGACGGGCCTGTCCCAGCCCTTGGCTGCAATGCAGCCCCCATACTTGCTCACCTGGTCTGAGTGGCCTGACTGACTCTGGGCTGACCCTCTGCCCATCACTGGCCTCTGCAGACCCCACCATCCCAGGGACTAGAACTCACTGACACAGTGGCTCTGAAGGGTGGACTTTCTGGCCAGAGCTTGAGCCTACAAAGATGCCGGCCAGGGCCAGCTGATGACCAAGTTCCAGACTTCAGGGTCCAACACTTCTCTATCATCCAGCCAACCAATACTGTGTGTGTGACTCCTACACAGCAAGCCTGTGTTTTGCCTGAGGACGCAGTGGCCAGTCAGATGCTGGCCTGCCTGGGGTTGATCCAGCTGGGGTCCCCCTAGATGGACTTCCATTGCCTGGGATGGTTCCCAAGAGCTCAGACCTAGTCCTACAACCAGAACTCAGACAGGCACTGACATCACAGAGACTGCAGTCAGCTGTACTGTGTAGTGGACAAGGCAGAGGGCAGGCAGGCAGCCAACCAGGTGGGCCTGGCAAGTGATTCCTGAGGGCCACGAGGGACGTTTTGCATGAGACTCCCTTGAATCAAGAAGGCTGCACACTGCACTTGATGGACAAGTGAGTCAGGAAGCTGGAGCAAAAGGACAGAGACACCAAGTGTCCACCCCAACAGGAGCACAAGCACCAGATTCAGCCTTTGGTGAAGTCCAGGGCAAGGTGATCCCACCTGTCCTAAACCCCGCACAGGTCAGTCAGTGGGGCATGGGCAGCAAGGCACTTGGGCCTGCACTAAGCCCAAGGAGAGAGCCCAGAGATGCCAAGCTTCCATGTGTCCTCTGTGCCAGCCACTCTCCGAGCAGGTGGCCTGTGGGTGACAAAAAGCAAAGCTGGCACTCCCCAGTTTGCTGCCTGATCTGTGCACAAAGGGCTGCCTGGCCTGACTAGGACTTCCTGTCTTGCCAGCTCAGGGCTCTTCATTCCCTACACCCTGTGTCTGTCCTCTGCTGGTCCCGCCTCTGAATCACCCATCGCACTGGCCACACAAGCCGGGTCCTCTCTAGAATTCTGCTCCATGTCAGCCCCAGCTGGGCCACTTCTCCTGCAGGGACCTCAGGCCTGGAAGAGTGCACTGAGCAACAGCCCTTGGCAGAGCCCCATGGTCTGTGGAGGCCTCCCAGGTAGCACCAGCTTCCTGCAGGCCCCCGGTCCAGAACCTCAGTGTCATGGGTTCAACTGTGTCCCTGAAAATTCTGTGTCCAACCCTTGGTACCTGGGACTGTGATTTTATTTGGACAGATCTTTGCAAGTATAATTAAGTCAAAGGTTTCAGAAGAGATTGTTCTGGATTTAGGGTGGGCTCCAAACTCAGTGACCTTGCGAGAAGAAAAGACAGAGACAAGGCCATGTGAAGACAGAGTCAGTGGCCAGAGTGAAAGAGCCTCATGCCAAGGAGCAAGGAGGTGCACTGTGGCCACCAGAAACTGGAGCCCTAGGAAGGGTGTCCCACAGCCTTCCAGGAGGACCTGCCTGCAGCGACACCCCTGCTAAGGACTGTGAGGAGCCCCAATGTGAGAAGCTTTGTTTGAGCAGCCCCAGGATACTTGCACGCTCAGGGCCCTAGGCTCGCACCCTTCCTCCGCCTGCCATAGCCCTTCCTGGCCTTCTGTTGCTGGGAGCCCTTCTTTGTCCTCTCTTACAGAGCTGAGAGTTCTGGAGATGGCCGGTTGGATCCCCACCTTCACAGCCTCATAGCCCCCTGCAAGGAAGGAGAAATCACTAAGACCAGCCAAGACTGGGGTGGGGCAGGGCAAGTTGGCGCCCACCCTCCTTTGTCTGCTCCCAGGCCCGCCAGCGGAGGACCCCAGCCCAGGGGACCACATCCCACAGGCTTTGGGTGGGATCGGAGCAAGAGAGGTGAGGTGGAAATGGAGAGAGCAAGAGGCCTGGGACGGCGGGGCCGGGCCGGGTCCCCTGCCCTATGCACCTCCAACCAAGGACTGGGTGTCAGCGGTGCGTTGGGGGCTCCCTCCAGACATGCCTTTTCTCGGGCGGAGGGGAGGGTGCCCCCCAGCTGCACTGTCTGGCAAGGCCGGCCCTTCCCCCGCGTGCACAGAGCCATGGACTCGGGAGCTGTCCCCGGTGCTGGTGAGGTGGGCCAGGCGCATGAGCCCAGGCGCAGGCCTGCTCAGCCACGAAGGTAACAGCTGCA